CCCTGAGCACGGAGGCCCAGGATGAGGTCAGGTCTCCCCGGGGCGCCCCGGGCAGCGCGCGGCCCGTCTCCAGCAGCACGGCCTTGTAGGCAGGGCCCGGGACGCGGGCAGGACCCGGTGTCCTGCAGGCCCTGGCGCCTCCGGCTCCCGCGCGCCTTCCCCAACTCCAGGAGGTCTGTTCCCCGCGAGCGGATGCGTTGGCCCAGTCCTGGCACTTGTCCCCTCTGCTCCAGCACATGGTCCCACAGGGCGGCTTCCTCTCAACCCCTGGCCCCAGCACCAGACAGTGACCCTGGCTAGACAGGTGATGCGTCAGCTCTCCCCAAACGCAGCTGGGTGGGTCCACGAAACCCAGGGTCAAGCTCAAACCATCTTCAGGAAGAAGACCGAAGGAAGGAATGTATGGAAGGTTCTGGAAGGTCGCTGTGTGAGTGTGTATGCACATCTGTGTTCAGAGCATTTCCTCGTTGTGTTAAAGCTCAGGCATCTCTCTCTATTTTTCTAAATCAAAGACTAACTTCCCCACAAACAGCTAGCTGTTCCCAGGCATATTTGCCCCAGATCAGCCAGGGTCAGGGAAGCAAATGTCACTGGGGTTTGGAAGCACAGTGGTGGAGACCTTTTCCCGCTTCCAAGTGCTCCCCACATTCCCTGTCAAGCCTTCCTCACCTGGGCGGGCAGGCTAATCCCAGCAGCTCACCTGTGATGACCTCACCCTCAGGTTGCCAGACTGGGAGCCACACCTGAGCCACTGAGAGTGTTCAGGATCTGCTGGCTCACCTGTCGCTCCTGCCTTTCTAAGAGAGGGTGGTCCTGTTCCTGAACTGGGCAGGTGGAGGCCAGAGGAGGGAACAGTTAGAGTAGGGAACAGTTAGCATTCGGGGAAGATGGTTTATCTGCCGGAAGGGCCCCAGGTTCTTCTTAACTTGGCTAATTTAGAAGACACATCATCCCTGACAATCATTCAAGGACATGCATGTTCTCTAAGCTCCATTCTTAAATGCCACCACCTGGAATCCCAGGAAGCACCTTCGTGGGAATAATTTCTCTCTCTCTCTCTCTCTCTCTCTCTCTCTCTCTCTCTCTCTCTCTCTCTCCCTTCTGTCTTCTGGGTTGGCTTTTAGTGGTCGACTACCTTCCATTCGTTGAAATCTCTCTCCCATTTTCCCACAGACAAGCCTTTCATTCCTGGGCTCTGTCCACGCCTGCCAAGCTTCAAACTTTTCTCAGGGGAAGGCTGGACTGTCCAGGAAACTAGGATCACGGAGCACAGCTGGGTGCACGTGTCCACGGGTCAAAGGGGCGAGCTGCCCATCCCAGACGCCTTCTAGAGACTCCTGTCACATTTACTCCGCTCCCCTTGACCTTTAATGACCCCATCGCGCCCCGGCCAGCGAGCTTCCACCTTATATAGAAAAGCGGAGTGGGTGCAGCCGCGATCCATAAGCTCTGTCCTCCCTGTCCCTGCCTCCCATCACCCTAACAGGTTGGGACATCAGACGGTGCCCCCCCACCCCCACGTAGCTGCCGAGTCCTAGAGCTGTTTATACTCTATATTTATAGTCATGCATCTGTACCGCGTCTTTCATGAGTTGTATAGTTATTGGTGCGGGTGACTTGTGCTTCGCGTACCCTCCTTGGGAAATGATGCAGGGTTCTTCCATAAAATGTAAATTCTTGAAAGACCCCTTCTGTATATTTTATACTACCGCCCTGGCCGTGCCCACGCCGCACACACTGTACATATGTAAGTTAAACCCGGGCAGGGGCTGTGGCCATCTTTGCACTCCAGTGATTTTTTTAAAAAATTGGATCCTTGTACTTGCGTTGTCTTTTTTTTTTTTTTTACTGGTTGTGGGAAGGGAGATAATAAACAAGATAATCAAACCCGAAAGGAATGTGTTGCTTTCAGTTTCAGGGAAATAGGGATCTCCTTGGATCTATTTCCTAAAAACAAGAGGCTTCTTCCCTCAGGTAACATCATCCACCATAAGGATCAGCTGCATAATTTGTGCGACTCTTTGTTCAAAAAGCAGGGGTGACCTGGAATTCCAGCACTTTGGTAGGTCAAAGCGGGAGGATTGCTAGAACCCAGGAGTTTGAAACCAGCCTGGGCAACCTAGCAAGACCTCATCTCTACAAAAAATAAAATTAGCCAGGCATGGTGGTGCCTACCTCCAATTCCAGCTACTTGGGAGGCTGAGGTGGAAGGATCCCAGTGTAAGGTAAACGAAACCAGACCAGGTGAAACGGCAACAAAGGAGCCAAGAAAAATTTATTAGTGCAATCCTGGGCGAGGTTCTCCGGTCCTTATAGCTGTGGGCCGGAGAAGTCGCGCCCAGCAAGCTAGGTGATGGGTTTATAAAGGGCACGCTGAGAAAGCTGTGAGGGGGATTGGGGAGAGCGATCATTGGTTGGGACAGCTGTCGCGTCTGCTGGCGATTGGCTAAATGGGATTGCTAGAATCGCTGTAACAGGTGCTGGCTGGCTTTGCAGCTGGGGTCTTAGTTCCGCCCCGCCCTCCGGTACCTCTGATCTTACACCCAGGAGGTCGAGGTTGCAGTGAGCTGGGATTGTGCCACTGCACTCTAGCATGGGTGACAGGGAGATCCTGACTCAAAAATTTTTAAAAAGGCGGGGCGGGGAGAGGCTGGGTGCGGATGCTCACACCTGTAATCCCAACATTTTAGCAGGAGTTGGAGACTGCAGTGATCTACGATCATTCTACTGCACTCCAGTCTGGGAAGCTGTGACACCCTGTCTCAGAATAAATAAAAGCAGGGGAAATGTGTCATACTAAAAAATTCAAAGCTCCCTTTTCTTTCCAAATCTCTCAACTTGTGGAAATTTGCTATTGAATACTATTCTAAGTCAAAAGTTAAAATTCAAATTATTAGTATGAAGTTTACAGCTCATCTTTATATTGTATGATGTCAGTTTTTTTGTTGTTTTTGTGACGGGGTTCTGCTATGTTTCCCTAACTGGTATTAAACTCCTCAGCCTCCCAATGTACTGGGATTAAAGGCCTGAGAGACATCGTGCCCAGCCAATGATGCCAAATATAGGAGTTGTTTTTTGATTTTTTTTTTTTTGAGTTGGAGTCTCACTCTGTCGCCCAGACTGGAGTGCAGTGGCCACTCCCGGCTACCACAGCCTCAACCTGCTGGGCTCCAGTGATCCTTCCGCCTCAGCCTTCCCTGTATCTGGAACTACAGGTGTGTGCTACCACGCTC